CCAGTGGTTAAAGCGTTCGTCGTCACACCGAAGACCCGGGTTCGATTCCCGACATGGGTACAACGTGTGAAGCCCATTTCTGGTGTCCCCCACCGTGATATTGCTGGAATATTGCTAAAAGTGGCGTAAAACCATACTCACTCACTCACTCAAGTTGAAAATATGATTTCCTCTTTTTTCAGACAAATTGTAAGATATGCAGCAGCAACAAAAGAGGTCCTGGTTCCAGAGAACACTACATGAAGTGATGATACTTTCCTCAGAACTTATTTATATGCTACTGACTATCTGTCTAACCTGTATCCTAAAAACCCAGATTATGAATTTGGATCTAACTTGTTACATTCAATATATAAAAAAATTGGAAATCTGAACCTTTACACTACTTACTGATGTCTAACTTCACTGTAATATGTTGTAGGTAAATAGCGTATGTTTCCATACTTACATTCTGACATTCAGTCATCATGAAAAACATCCAGATTTCACAGCGTGTTATCATTCCTGAGTTATTCAAACAACTCATTGGTGTATGAGATGTGATAGGATATCACAAACATTATGAAGCAAGCATATATGTTTATCATATAAAGATTGTTTGTTTGTTTGTTTATTTAGTGTTGCACTCCACTATATCATGGTTGCCTGTAAATAAATCGAGTCTGAACCAGACAAGTCAACCCAGTGATTGTTTTTGTGAGCAAAGATCCATGCCTTCGGGGTAGGATGACATGCAGTCAGCCAAGTCACGAGCCTGACCAACCGATCCATTAATTCATCTCTTATGGCCTATTTTGGGGAGCCATGAAAACCTTGATCCCCTTTGAGATTAAATGAAAGAAGGCAGTGGGGTAGCCTTGTGGTTAAAGCATTTGCTTGTCATGCAGGCCCTGGTCCGATTCCTCCGATGTGTGAAGCACACCTGCCGGAAGTGGTGTTGCAGTATTGCTAAAAGGGCAAGTTCACACGGAAATGAACCTAATTTTCTTGTACTTTTTCCACAATAAAAGTGTTAACCTAGAAGTGTCATAGACAAAAATATAAAAATATCACAATTAATCAACATATGTTTTGCATTAAAACGATTTATATTTTTCACATTTACCAAGTGTTCTATTTCCATAACAAAAACACCATGGCTTATGCCCCTTGCAATATGACGTCATTGGTGCCAATTGATAAACATTATGACGTCATCATGCTTTGTTAGAGCCGCTTCACGTGGTGTAGGTACAGGTGTGTGATTCTAGCGTCTCAGATGCCAGCCAGCATAGTGTTATGCTGAGTCTCCACTGCGCCGGAGTGTGTCGTAGGCCATGTTGTTTTACCGAAAACTTGTACTTGATATCTTTTGCGTTCAGAATAGACAGGGACCCAGTTGAATTGGCACCAATTACGTCATAATCTAAGGGAGATAACTCAGGCCTGTTTAGCTCGAAAAACGAAGGCCTCATAACAGCATCATTTTCACACTATTGTGAGCTTCCTACTTTCACTGTGAAAAAAATGAGTATATTTTCAAACACAGATACTAACTAATTCTAAAATTGCGTTTTGTTTAGAAAAAGAAAGAAAGTAATTTTTGCGTGTACACTTCCCCTTTAAACCATACTCACACATCACTCATTAAGTACTGGGAACTGACTTTGAGACAAACACATTGTAAGATAACTGTTCAAGATACAGAATGGAAGGAATATGTGGAGAGAGATGACCTTGATGATGACCTTCTGACAAACTTACTTTAATAATTTACAGGAATTGTCTCTTTAACAAATCTCCCAGTCTCTGTTGTTACTTTATGTAAAAACTGGTTGGTTGGTTTGTTGTTTAACGCTGCTCTCAGCAATATTCCAGCTATATGACGGCGGTCTGTAAATAATCGAGTCTGGACCAGACAATCCAGTGATTAATATCATGAGCATCGATCCACGCAATTGGGATCGATGACATGCATCAACCAAGTCAGCGAGCCTGACCACCCGATCCCGTTAGTCGCCTTTTACAACAAGCATAGTCACCTATGTAAAAACTGTTACTGGACACAAGGTTATAATGCTGTCTACTCTCATGCAAGGAAGGTTAACAAACATTGTAGTATCCTTTATTGTACTACTTTCCTTAGGACATTGGTTTGTGGGTGTTGCATGTTGTCTAAATTCATCTGTGTGTCTTCAACTGCATGCAGAGCTTCTGTGATTAATTTGGTTTGTGCAAATGAAGTGTATTTTCCCCGATGCAAGGGAGTTAACTGACTATGAAAGTCCAGTTTCCACCCTTGCCAAACTAGGCTGGTATTATGGTGTTATATTTTGGCTGGACTAATGAGTCTATGCACAGTCAAGTCAAAATTGCGTAATGAAATCGACATCTGGTTTGTAAGCTGCTGTGCAGATTTCGTACGATTGCAGGATTTGCGAAGCATATGTACCGCCAACTCGGCGTCAAAAGATATTTTCCAAATCTTTTCATGTTTTTAGTCAAGGTGTTCACGTGATTTGATGCACTTCCCTGGGTAAGACCCGTTTTATAACAATACAATCTCGATTATCGATCAGATCGTCTGGACTGGGCGCCGCCATTTTGTTTGACGCAAATGCAAGTGATATGAGAGGTTGAATCTGATTGGTCCATAGGAGGGACATAGAAGGGACATTACTCATTATAGCCACTGAAATTCCAGCCTAGTGCAGGAAGGGTGGAAACTGGACTTTTATAGTCAGTTCACTCCCTTGCCTTGGGAAGATGATGAAATACATAGATTTAGTGCTACTGACTTTTCCTGACATGTTCAGATAACATTCCAGCATTTGTTTGACGTGAAATCTAAACTGAGATGAAGAATATGAACTACATAATGTTTTATAATGTTTTATGATGACTGAAATCAATCAAGAGTTATTTTAACTGAATTCCTTGACACTTAGCAAATTAAGAAAATTAACAAGCACATATTGAAAATATGTACAAGTTGAAATTTGATGTCTGAGATCTAGGGAGAGAGAACAAACTTAATGTGTTATCTATAAAATGTCCATTTGTTCATGACACTCCCCAAATATGTGTATTATTTTTTATGACCTCCCCTGATTCCCTTTGACCCACACTCTCTATAATAAATGACTGGTCCCTTATGTTTCTTAGTTCATTAGCATCATCCCCAGGCTGGTAGGTTTCTCCAAAGTGTTACACGTCTCAGACCTGCATCACTTCGGAATTTCCTCCCAAAGATTTGTGATGATGGTTTCTTTTGAAAATCGTATTCTGACAGCCACCAACATTTAAAAAGTTAACACATGAAAACCAATTACTTGTATTTGCTTTCAGCAAAGCTCATTTGACATACTTTTGCATATTGTCATCAGGGTTTTCTTTTGAACATCTCTTAGATATTTCATGTGGAGAATGCTGCATATGATTCTCTCTGCATGAGTATTAGTGGTGGGATGATACATTGATGCATCGGTGGATCATACTTTATTACTTCTTGATACAAGTATCGATCACAGTTGTACACTAAGTAAAACATATCGATTCATACCTTAAATGTTTGCTATAATAAACGTTACATCAAACACTAATTAGTAGTGAAAACATAAATATTTTCATCTATTGGGCCATATTTGACACTGCCAACTGTAAATCATCAGAGTGCCAGGTATTTGACAATCCTGTCTTTGAAAAAAGACACAGATAAAAGCACATGCAAATATTGTGAGGAGTCTATCGTGATAATATCGGATCATGAGCAACGTGTCGTGATACGTATCGGATCATGAGCAACGTGTCGTGATACGTATCAGATCATGAGCAACATGTCGTGATACGTATCGTATCATGAGCAACGTGTCGTGATACGTTTCGGATCATGAGCAATGTGTCGTGATACGTATCGTATCATGAGCAACGTGTCGTGATACATATCAGATCATGAGCAACGTGTCGTGATACGTATCGTATCATGAGCAACGTATCATGATACGTATCGGATCATGAGCAACGTGTCGTGATACGTATCGTATCATGAGCAAAGTGTCGTGATACGTATCGCATCGTACAGGTGGTGTATCATCCCAGCCATAATGAGTATTGTGTACAACTTTGTTATGGTGATGAATATCATGTGTATATATGAATAAATTCATGATAATCAATGTACCGTTTTTTCTTTATTCTTTTTATGTGGGCAAATGCTTGAGAGAAAAAAAACATGGAGACAGGATGTATTAACGATCACATACGCAGTCACCACGATTCAACTGTAAATAAAACTGCGTATAGTTCCTTCATTGTAGTGGATAGAGCGACTGCTTGCAGAGTGCGAAGTTTGATCCCCAGTTGCATCATACCAAACGATGTTATGGATACTTGTTGTTACCCTGCCTGGCGCTCTGCATTAAGGGGTTGAAACAAGTACTGGCTTGTAGTCAGTAGTGTCTAAATAGCAGCTATATAAACTCTGCTTGTGCAGTTCAACATCAGCTGTGTCCTATTCAACAAAGCTATTTTGCGTCACAAGTCTGTCAAAGATGACATGGAATGACTTGGCTACTAATGCTCCTACAGTAATTTCTCATTCAGTCTGAACACAGGAGGGAGGGGGGGGGGGGGGGGGGGGAGGGTTGTGGTTGTGGTCAAATCAGCTTATATTTTTTTCAATGTTTAGGATCTCCATTATTTCTTACAAAAAAGTGCTAATAATGAACTGTACCGGTATTTTGTTTTTGTCTTACAGTGCAAGGTAAAAAACATTCTATCTGAATGACATAACAGAGAGACGCTGCAAAATGACATCCCTATTTACTTGTGAAGACAGTAAGGAATGTTTCCAATCCCTAAGACTTGCAGTATATATACATGTATATACTTATGTTCAATTTACAAATTTTGTACTGAGTAATATAATTTGTGACATCTTTTTTTAATATTTATGATCCATATACCAATACGGAAAATAATGGTAGTGATTTCACGTCAATGTCATTCATTTCACAATCTAATTTCAGCTAAGAATTAGAAAATATATCATTAGTGTTCCAAAGCCGTGTGTTTTGCAAATTAGCTTTTACATTAAACCAAGGGCAGACAACTCTAACTTCCCATGTCTTGTAAACATTGTAAACTCGAGCTTTGCAGCAGACTGACATGAAACACCTCTCGGATTGATGTTTGCTGTGTGAAATATTGACGCAATGTCTAATACAGGAGCTAATAGGGTAAATCAGGGACTTAATTCAAAGGTACTACTTAAAACTACCGCAGTATGTATAAGCAATACGTATTCTCTGGTTAGACAAGACTTTCGTTTTCACCATGTCAAAGATTAATCCAACGACGAGGCCCTAGACACATGAAAAGTGTGAGGAAATATTCATTTCATATGAAGTTCATATTTTTATTTTTCCTACATGACATCGAAGTCAGAAAAACAATAACCATAAAAATAAATAAAAGACTCATTATCAAACAACAGAATTATAATCTAAGAATCTAATTGTAAATCAAGAAATAAACGACAGTCCCGAGTGGTTTATTCTCCCTGCAGCGTTTTTTTGTATGGTAAACAACGACCACGAGTCCTACATGACATCGAAGTCAGAAATTATTAAACAACAGAATTATGATTGTAAATCAAGAAATAAACGACAGCCCCGAGTGGTTTATTCTCCCTGCAGTGCTTTTTTGTATGGTAATAAATTATTGGTAAACAACGACCGCTAGTCCTTTATTTCTTATTTGAGATATCAACATTTTGTACAGCCTCTGTTAGGGATGTTACTATTGATATGTGAACACGATGATTGCTCAATAATCATGATAATATGGCAAATAGAAAAGAATGATAATGCTTCATCATAATAATAATCCCTTTAGTTTTGTTGATTGTAGGACTAATTGTATTTTATTGACGTTTTCATGGTATCTCATTTTGGAAAGAATGCATTACACCGGATACCTTCCGCCATCTTTTATTGTGCTCACAAAATCTCATTTTATACAGATTACTGAGCAGAAGGTTCTACAAGACGAGTTGAAATCAATCAGGAAAGGAGCTGTAAGTATTTGGAGTTAGTAATCATGGTAGTATCATGATTACGTGAGTTTGTGTTAGGAATTAAACAAATTCAATACAGAAGCTGGTTATTCACTTCACTTCAGTGCACTTTACTGTCCCAGTACCCATTAAACAATTAAAAGGGACATTTCTGGAACATGGTAGAATTGAAATGTGACAACAATCTTACAGTAAATAATCGCAAGACATGCTTGTTACCAGTGTGTAGTCCCAAATCTAGAAACACAGTAGAGCAAATCCCTCTTTCATGTGTGCTGTCTGTTTCAGAGGGTGTACAAACAACAGCAGAACAGCAGCATCTTTTTTCTGTCTTCAGCTGACAGAGAAATGGCTCAGTCAAAAAGTAAGTTTTTGTAACCTTGGCAAGCAGAACACAGAATGTGAACTTGGAGGAACTTTGACCTGGTATTTGCATCCATTTTGCAGTTTTATGCATACATGTGTACTCACTGCGAAAAGAACTGCCTACCATAGAAACATACTGAGAAGTATGTACATTAAGAAGAGATGTTTCCAATGTGTAACAATTTATGCCAAAACTAACAATTGGTCAAGTGTTACCTCTGTGTGTCTTTATTTTTATCACGATATGCTGCACATAATTTCAAAACATTACACACTAATCCTGCATGAGACAAATGGTGCATCTCGAGTCATGGATCTATGACATCACATGTGGTGGGTTCATGAGCGTCGGTTCACACAAAATACCGGTATGTTCGTTTGTGCATCAAACCAATCTAATGTCTCTTGAATATGAGTAATTCTTCTCAGACAGTCATGTCCCATTAATCCGACACGGTTGGTTGCATATGATTATGTTGGATAAACAAAATTAAGTAGTATCAACGTTCATGATTGAAAATCGGACAACTATATGATAGATAACGATACAAACACATTGTGATAACAAATTAAATATTTCATTTTTTATTTTTTCATTTTCCATTGTTAGCAGAATGTTTTCTAAACATGCAACCTCTAAAGCTGTCAGATTAACGGGTCTAAATAGTTCTAATTCAATTGGTTCCCATCATTTGTGTCGAATAAAGCCGATTGTCGAATTAATGAGACTTGACTGTATTAACCAACATATATTGTATTCACGTTTCTTTTATCAGTGAGTTTATATGATGCAGGATTTCATGTGAGGTAAATCCCTGTTATTATCCACTGGAATTATCATCTTTTGTGTTGGAAACCTCCAACTATGTGGTGAGTGACTAGGGCTGATGTGTATTCTGAGAGGTTTGCTTCTCGTGAATTGCTAAAGTTGTATGATGCGTGGAACTGCTCTATTTTACAGAGACCATGGACAGTCTGGGTAAAGAGTACAAGGACATGGAGAGACTAAGTGGTGGGGGGCAGGATGGGGGAAGGTGACCATGATGGAAGAAGGTGACCATGATGCTCTGGGAGATGGGAGATCGGGGGAACTGATGATGTCATCAATGAACTTGGATTTTCCTTATCGAGACATGTAACTCAAATATCAACAAAACAGTATGCAAGAAAGAGTTTGGTGCTGTTTGAGAAGATCCGGGTTAAAATTGGTCTTCAGCAACCCATGCTTGCCATAAGGGCGACTGACTATGCTTGTTGTAAAAGGCGACTAACGGGATCAGGTGGTCAGGCTTGCTGACCTGGTTGATGCACGTCATCGTATCCCAATTGTGTGGATCAATGCTCATGATATCAATCACTGGATTGTCTGATCCAGACTCGATTATTTACAGACCGCCATCATCTGACTGAAATATTGCCGAGTGCTGCGTTAAACAACAAACAAACAAACAAATCCTTCTGCAAGATAGTTTGGCGCTGTTTGAGTAGTGACTGGATGAGTCGTTCTTTAAGTGAGTGCCAATCTTTAACGTGTTTAATGTACTCTTTGCAATAGTGTGAGTGATGCATGTATTTGTGTTATATCATGTATATGGAAAGAATGGTATATGTGTCATGTTGCCATGGTTACATGTGTTGTGCGGTGCTCAATCATTTGCTCTATCAAACCTCTACTTACCCCCAGTGTCACATGAAAGAAATGTGTCAGTTCAGAAGTTACCAAGACTCATTTGGGTGAAATAGGCTTGGGCCACACATCCATGATCTGACCCATGGGAACTCTGGATTAGAATATAGATCCCAGCCACCTATGCTTGGTGTTAAAGGCGACTCCATGGATTGGGTGGACATTCCCGGCGACCTGGTTGATTGCATGTTATCATATCCCAATTGAGGTGTTATAAATCTCTGGATTGTCTGGTCCAGCTTCAATCGTTTACAGGTTGTCTTATAGCTGGAATATTGCCGAGTGCTGCGTTAAACAACAAACATACAAAACAAACTTCATGAATGATATATTTTCAGATTAGTAATTTGTTTCTTTTCTCGTTTTTAATGTAAGTTCTATGAATCATTCCAAACTAATAATTGGGAAGCAATGATGCTCATGATGTCAATCACTTGACTGTCTGGTCCTGGAATATTGCTGAGTGTGGCGTTAAACAAAAAACAAATCCATGATGTTGTGGCTGTCAGCACACACTCAGCATGTGAATTCAAAGAAGGATGTGTTTAGTGAAGACTGTTTGTACATTTTGATATTAAAGACATTGTTGGTATGAAATTATTTGTCCGTGATGACCATGATGACGTCTGTCCGATATCATTTATTAGCCTGCCATGTTGATTTGTAAGATTGAGCACATTGGGTTTATGCAGTTTTGAATGTGAAGAATCACACTCATTGCATGTAAGCCCCTTTTGTGAGTTTCAAAAGTTAGACTCTTGAAGATTCGGGGTAGAATAGGTCTTCAGCAGCCCATGCTTGTCCTCAAAGGCATCTATGCTTGTCGTTAGAGATAACTAACAGGTGGTCAGGCTCGTTGACTTCGTTGATGCATGTCAATGCATCTCAGTTGCATGAGTTGATGCTCATTATATCAATCTCTTGATTGTCTGGTCCAGACACGATTATTTACAGACGACCGTCTTTTAGCTGGAATATTACTGAGCGTGGCATTAAAATAAACAAAATAAAAAGTTAAGCAGGTTGTGATTGTTTACGTTTTAAGGGAAACCACAAAGTAAATGTAGAAAATGGGAGGTTGAAGCTAGGATTGACTGAAGATCAGCATATCCTACCATGACTAGGGGATGCAACTCTTTACAGCACTTTCAGGTTGCACGCATGCTGCGTGACATACAGGAAGGACTCAGTACACACCTACACTCATGCGACATGTAAAGTATGCCTCATTCCCTCTTTATAATGTGTGTGTATGTATGAAAACACCATGACATAATGGGATCGTGTGGTCAGGCTGGCTGACTTGTTTGATGTTTGTTATCGTATCCGAGTTTAATCATGTTAATGGATCGATGCTCGTGCTGTTGATCACTAAATTTTCTGGTCCATACTCAGTTATTGTGAGAAATAAACCTTAGTTTATTTTAATTTAAACGGCAATGCCATGGCATCTGATTTAATGTCCATTTATTTAACAGTCAAGGGGAGACAATCCAGACTGTCAGTGGCTGATTATGCTGTAAGCGGTATTTGTTTTTTTATTGTTGCAAGGGACACGTCACAGGCGCCAAACGTAACTTGCAAACTACACGTTGTGCAGGTGATTTTTCTCAGTCAGTCGGAGGTTTTATGTTTCGATTAAACATTTGTCATTATTAAATGACCTTTGCCCCCAAGAGGAATCGTTTGTTTTCCTTTTCCAGCCCATATGGCACTAGCGCTGGATTTCTTGTTGTTTGTCGTTTAAGACAATTACTTTGTCCGCGTGCTACTAGCATATCAACCAAGGATTGGATGATGGAGTTTAATACTGACCACCGTCATACAGCTGGAAAAACGCCGACTGCAGAGTTGAACCCATCAACCAAACTGATTGTTGTTATATTCAGTTCAACAACTGATCCTCACAGTTGCCTCTTACAAGAAGCACGGGTTGCTCGGATCTTCACGGGTTGCTCGGATCTTCACAGGGTTGCTTAGATCTTCAGGGTCAATAATTAGTAAATGGCCTTGACGACTTTATCACAAGAACAAACATCTGACATATTTCCCAGCTTTATTACTGCACCAAGTCTACATCTGACTTCTAGTCACAAGACATGTTACCATGGTTACAGCATGACGAATTGTTAAATACTCTGAGTAAGCGTCCCACAATATTGTTTAAGTCCTGTACATACATGGCCATTCAAGACACAGTCCTCCACCAAACCCACACTGCAGACATGTTACCATGGACACGTCTTTCCAATAGTTGGTGGGATGGCAACAGTAAAGGATATGTTGAACCAGCTTGTGTTAGTCTCTACTGTTGGGATATAAAAAAACTACTTGTCCAATTCTGTTCCGTCAATAATATTAAATATTACACATCACCGGCTTCTCTTGCCATGCTAAATCCTGAAGGGACGATACACCGATGCATAGGTGGATCGCAAATTTCTACTTCTTGATACAAGTATCAATCACAATTGCACACAAAGTAAAAAGTATCGATTCTTACCTTAAATGTATTCTTTATTAAATGTTACACTAATTACTAGTGAAACTGAGTTGTGAAAATGTAAATATTTTCATCCATTAAACCAAACTTGACACTGCCAACTGTACATCGATAGTGTGCCAGATATTTGGCCATCCTGTCTATGAAAAACATGGCTTACGCACCACAGAAAGAGCACATGCAAGTATTGTGATATGTATCGGATCTAAGCAAGGTAGCCTGATATGTTTCGGATCGCACAGTTGGTGTATCTTCCCAGGGCTACTAAATACTACTGCACCCCTCATCTCATGGACTCGCCCTTCACATGACCCAGTAAGAGACATGGTCAGCAAAATCTTCAAATCTAGTAGTGAGTGAGTATGGTTTTACACCGCTTTTAGCAATATTCCAGCAATATCACGGCGGGGGACACCAGAAATGGGCTTCACACATTGTACCCATGTCGGGAATCGAACCCGGGTCTTCGGTGTGACGAGCAAACGCTTAAACCACTAGGCTACCGGACCGCCCCTTCAAATCTAATAAGGCTATCTCCCATGAAAACATGTCAAACAGAAATATAATGTGCCAAACAGACTTGACCATGTCTAAACAATAAGCATACTTTGTATCCCAACAGTACAAGACCAGTCATGTTGGTGCAGTATACCTGTATATCCACCAACCATGGCATTGAGCTGAGCTGAGCTGTACTGTATAGTGTTCAAGTATACTACTCCAAAAAAGTTAAGGATCATCCGATTGTTTTGTATTACTATAGTTAATCTGTCATGCCAACTTTTATAGAGTAGTATATCACAAGGGTGGGAAACTGCACTACATTGTATTTCAATAGCTGTGTAGACAACCAGTTATATCTAATCCAAGCCATCACAGCATCTACTCTGTACATCTTAACGTCAGTTTTCAATTGCTCAGGGGATGAAATCTTGAGGTGACACTCATTTTCAGTTATGGAATGACCACATCCAAAAGCCAACAACCAGAGAATTATTGTAAATATTTTATGTTGAACAAAATGAGAGGGTTCATGAATATTTTGGGGATATTTTACGGTTGTGAAAAATGAGCTCATAATTTCAGAAAAATATCTACAAAAATATTTATGATCCCGAACTTATTTTTTCCCAGCATATTTCCCTGTTTTTACAAGAAACAGATGAACAAAGACAAGTACAAAATGGTTTTAAAAAATCATGTCCACTGCAACTAAACAAAGAAAAACATAATGAATAATTTGCTAAGAAAAACATAATGAATAATTTGCACTTTAAAGACTGCAAATATCTTGAACTGGCTTACTCGATTATTCTCTCATTTACCAACCAAAGACCCAAATAATTTAACGTAAAAATTTAGAAACACAAATATATTTTCATTTCTATTTTGAATTTGGGTACGTCAATATTCACAGGCTTGTATAGAAGATGTAACAACATGACTATAAGCCTATGAAGAATTGATGATCTGTTTCAACCTACCCAAGAAAATGAATCTTAAGTTTGAACCCATGAACCAACAAGCGTGCCCCAAGATTTCCATCAGGTCCCTGATGCATCACGCCTATGTACACTATTCTCCAACACAAACTCTACCCTAGCATACATGTATCCCACGTGTGATAAGTTACCGCATCAACACAAACTCTACCCTAGCATACATGTATCTCACGTGTGATAAGTTACCGCATCCATTTCTAACTCTACGTAACAACAAAACATCCAGGACAAGAATGAGATCACACCAGCTGAAACAGCTTTGTTCATGATTCACTAACTATATACCACTCAAAAGAAGTTAAAGAGCACCCAATGACAGATTAACTGTATTAACATGAAAGAATCCGGTATTCTTTAATTTCATTTGAGTAGTATAGTTGACAATACTTTGTTGTATACGTATCATGCTTATCATTACGCATGTTACGTACCTGATACTGCAGTGTATCCACACAGATGAAAACAAAGTAGTTTGCAGGTTGTAAATAAATAGTAATAGACATGAGTGAGTGAGTGAGTGAGTTGGGTTTAACACCGCTTTTAACAGTATTCCAGTTATATCGCAGCGTGTCAGCTTACTGTGGGAGGAAAGCCCGAAGTGATGCAGGTCTCAGACGTTTACCACTTTGGTGAAACCCACGATCACGGGTATGGTGCTGACAAACCTAGAAACATAATCGGGGCGAACCGGGATTCGAACCCACAACCATAGGTTTCTGGCGTGCCCAAGGGACGCAACTCTGCACAGCGAATCGCGGCCCCTTAGAAGACTGGGCCACCTGTGCCCCCCAGTAATAGACATGAGATAACTAAACATATGAATATAGTGTTCACAGTTCACAGGGCTGACAATTTCTGGGAAGTGGGGGGTGGGGTGTATTTTAAAAAAAAGATAAAATAATAAATTAAATTGTTTCCTGGATGTGAATAAATGAGAAATGGAAAGAAAATAGGTCAGCTCCTCCTTCCAAAGGCAAAAATTGTATGTCCTGAAGCAGTAAGGATAAAAAATCTATTCAGTTTTTAGAAAAAAAACAACACCAGCCCTGCCCCAAGTATTAAATAGTCCGTTCCAAAGGGTTCTCCCCTCTCACCATGATAAGTGCTTGATCAACTCTGAAACTGATTGTGGATAGTTTCAGCACATGTATTGGCCTTCATTGTCAACATATTCATTGTGGTCAACTGTGAATGAATGGACATTGGTCTGGAATGAAATCTGGTCCCTTGGAAGCGCTCATTAAATCTCAAACAGCATCACTGCCAACTGGAATGGACAAGAAGCGCCTCATCAAACTCAAATGCCTGCCAATGGCACTTGTTACATCAAGCATCGTCTTTAAGACAGATGATAGGAATGCCAGACATCAGATCCATGACAGCGTGATGCTTTCACATCAAGGGATTTCATAATAAGCAGTGTTCAAGTCTCAACTTGCGCAGGGTGTAGTATACACTTGTGGTTATTTAGACATGTTGAATTACCACAAAGACAGAAAGCTTGTCAATACAGTACACCAAGAAAATAATTAAAAAATATTGGCTATGTATATCAATGTAGTGACAATCTCATTAAAATCAGACTTAACGTTTGCTAGACCACAAAGCTGTGTGTGGCGGTAGCAGGAACTAAGATCTGATTTTAATGAGATTGATACAGTGAGACCTCATTAACTTATTATCTTTTAAGTATTTCTTGTATTCTTCATGGCAATCAACAATGTATCAGCTATAACAAAGTGGCCTTTATTATCCCATACTTGAAGTATATATGAAATATGAAATGATGACACCCTGAATGATTATACTGAGGACTTAAAGACATCTTCCTGAGGCAAGGGAGTTATAACTATAAAAATCCAGTTTCCACCCTTGCCGAACTAGGCTGGAATGATCGAGTTAGACTCGTTAGTCCAGCCCAAATCTATGCATAGTCCAATCAAAATCGCATAACAAAATCAACACTCGGTTTGAAAACTGCAGATTTCGGTCGACTGCAAGATTTGCATGTGTACCTTCAACTTAGCGTCAAATGATATTTCCAAATTTTTTCATGTTTTTAATGAAGGTGCTCATGTAATTTGATTCACTTTGCGTAGTAAGAACCAATATATATGACAATATCCATATTGATTATCCATCAGATCATCTTCACGGGGCTGCCATTTTGTTTGAAGCAAATGCAAGTGATATGAGAGGTGGAATCTGATTGGTCAGTAGGAGGGACACAGAAGGGACATAACTCGTAATAGCCACTGGTGACGCAACAATCAAAGCCAAACATTCCGTCCCAGTCGAGAAAGGGTGGAAACTGGACTTTTCCAGTGGGTTAGCTCCCTTGCTTCGAGAAGATGACTTAAAGATAGCATGATGTCAGTGTATATGTTTGAAATAGAGACATGTTTACAGTATTGCTCAGGCGTGAATGCAAGAAAAAGAACCAACAAAAACATAATGGAAGATCAGAGAAGCAAAAGGCAAAAATATAACAAAACAAAATGCTGTTAATATATATAAATAAATAGAATCCATATGTGTGGACTTTAGCAATGTTGAAACATCTCCCCGTAACACAAAACCTCAACAATTCCCGCGAAACAAATCATTTGACACGTTCATATGTGGTTAAAACACTGACGCTAACTAACAAATACCATATTCGTTATGATCAAATGTCTACTGACATAAGTGACATAAATGTCAGTCTATAGTCCATGAACAAACAATCATATTGTTCAGTGCGTGAAATGGTCATTTTCACCAAAACCCTTTTCACTGACGAACGTCAATATTTTGTAATCTAAAGTTGAGTAAATGAAGTTACCACATTCGTACTAATAATCTTCCCAGTCACTAATAATATTGACAAAAAGCGGCACTTACACAATGGGGTGTTCAATATGGCAAATATGGTTCGTGTATTTAAATCTTTGTTCATAATATTTGCTCACTGGACCCAATAAGAAATGAGATCCCTCCACATGGACATATCATTCAGGGTTCCTCCATACACACAATCAGGTGATCGGTATCAACAGTCATACTACTTTCTCTACAACATGTTTCAATGATGGTCAGGATGATCACAGCTTCACTGGGTTTCATTCATCCCTTCGGGCATGATGTAGGAGATGTCGTCCCAAGGATGGCGGTACAGTCCTTGCTTCAGCCGCTTCTGATCCAGGTAATGGCCGATGAAGCCCATGCTTCGCCCCAGGACAAACAGGGCGTTGAGGGCACCGATTTCTACGTATTCCTGGGACTCCTCCCTGCGAAATGATGGTCAGATATGTTATACTTCATACTCAGTGTTATTAAGCATGTGAATTGAGCTTCAATCTCACATCGTTTTCAGCAATATTATTACAATAGCAAATGAAAAAAAAAAATTGGTTCTCAGGCAAAAAATCCTAATCAGAGCTCCAGATAAGCTGCGTATCTGCGTAAAATACACATCAGAAATGCAGAAATACACAGTAAAATAATATCCAAGCGTATCAAATACGCAACGAACATTAAAGATAAGCTACAAAAATAAAACTTGAGCGCATCATCAAAATATTGTGAAGTAACCCTTTGTATTCGATTGGCAAATCAGCAACTTATTTTGAAATTATAAACAGGCATTCCGTCAACCTTGCCAAACTTCACAATGACAGTTACATCATGATCATTTGCCATCACACTTTCTTGTGGAAGTATCGTGGTATTTTTTAGTCCTATAAAGCTCTCGAACCCACACAACATCAGTTTGCAGGGACTAGATGAATAGTGTTTATGAATTTTTAACTTAAATAACCACATGTGTAAAAACTAGCGGGTAACAGAAATTGAATACCCAGATAGAATAACTGATACCCAGTGATTTTAAAATGCATGGGTAAAATACCCACAACACCAACAGCTCATCTGGAGCTCTGCTAATACTAAAAACAATGTGATCCAATATAGCACACAGTTACTTCCCTTTACATGCACACTGAAGTACAGCAGTTAGTCCTGTTGTTACACTATCTGGCTATAAAAGTGTTCATAGTGTATCTGGACTTACGTTTGTAATCCATTACATTACTTTTAACCAAGATTTCATTCAATTTTGTTAACATTAATTTCGGTGAAATCGTGTTAGAACTGTCGACGAATCACACCAACTCACCAGGAACACGCCTTGAAATAAACATTAGTCGTTACAGATACAAAGTCATCAGGCTTCCTATCACTCTAGTTACATTTCTTTTCATTGGCCATGATATTAATATTTTGAAATCACCCACTGATCAGGGAGAAAATGTGTGAAGAGCTGATTGCTATTTCCGGCTTATTCTAAGAGTAGTACACATCCATGAACAATCTTACACATTCATATACAAAGCTATACATTCACACATTCATGTACAGAGTTACCATGGTTACACAGTGATGGACAGTACCCACCTTGTGAAGCAGCCACAGGTTCTCAACAGGTCGACGAAGGAGACCCCGATGAAGCCATCAACATTCAGAATCAGATTAGGTTTCTGGAAAGTAGTACAACTGTTCAAGTAGGATTGAAATCATAACCATTTCACAGCTGTATGAAAGTCTCCCTCAAAAAAACTTCTGATCAAAAGCTGATAAGAGTTAACCCTTCTACAACATGCATGAGGTACAAATTCCATCTCATCATTATTAAGTCATTGAGAGGGTTGTATCAAACGCCACTTTGAACCAAATATCGGTTATATCACGGCGTGTCAGCTTAATCATGTTAATGTGGGAGAAAGCTCAAAATGATGCAGGTCTTAGACGTTTAATTGATTGAAACCAACAAGCATGGGTATGGTGCTGACAAACCTAGAAAAATACCCTGGGCAAATTGCAATTTAAACGTTTTACGGCTAGAAAGGGTTGACTGAAGTAGCTCCGAGGATAGTTTTTGCTTCCTTGTATACATGTAACAGGCTCACAGTAACCAGTGTCACTCCTACCTTGGATGTGGTTATTTTTTCCACCTCGAGGGCGTAGTTCAGGAGCGGCGAGGCGGGGAAGTTCTTCTGGACGTATTCCTTCAGGATGACCACTCTCATATCAGGGTTGTTCAGCTACAACAGACAGCAATTGTTCAGCTACAGTTATGTTTATCAGACATAGCTTCACAATGCACACAGCGACTCACTGCCAACAATAACATCTTGGGGAACACGTATGGAGATATATAGAGAATCTCACCCGAGTGTCTTTTGATATCAAATATATCAACACGAGTTGATAAAAGTGGAAAAATTCGGAGGCTTGCCAAGGATTTTTGCCACGTTTATCAACGAGTGTTGATATATTTGATATCAAAAGACACAAGGGTGAGATTTTATTTATCATCCAACATCATTCTTCCAACTTTTTCAATTTGTAGACAGTAATTAGCAGTGTCTTCAGTGTAAAATGTGTTGCTAACAGCTTCAGTAGCAGAGCCATTAGTGATGTCATTTGATTGTGACGTCATGGTAACCAATGACGTCACAATGGTCTGCGAAGCATTGTGATGTAATTTTATTGCAGCGATATCTACAGTGTAGATATCGCTTGATCTCATCCAAGCATATCTCCTGTGGGAGCCAGTTTTGGATGATAAATTTAAAGTACATACAGTACATGCTGGGTCAAACTTATTTCTTGACCCTTCATCAGGTGAATACTGAATAGGATTTATATACTACTAAAAAGATATAAAAGATCATTCTGTTTTTTTCATATGACAATAGTTAATCTATCATGGCATTATAGATTAACTGTAGTCATATGAAAAAATCAGATTTTCTTTAGCTTCTTTTGAGAAGAATATATACATGTTGATATGTTAACACACCGTAGGATTAATGTACAAACATGGCAATATAACAAGGAAGTTAATGGGACTTGCAGTAAATCATATGCTCTAACAGAACCATAATATCTACTGACACAAACGTGTAAAATATGTACAGTAAATACGGGCACATTTGAGCCCTTCATAGCTTTGGGTTTTTTTTTCCTGTCTTAAGCCGTACTCAGCAATATTCGAGCTGTATGACGCCGTTCTGTAAATAACCGAGTCTGGACCAGACAATCCAGTGATTGACATCATGAGCATCGATCCAGGCAAATGGGATACGACGACATGCATGAACCAAGTCAGCAAACCCGACCACCCGATCCCATTAGTAGCCTCTTACGACAAGCATGGGTTGCTGAAGACCTATTCTACCCCGGATCTTCCTTCATAGACCTGATAGTGATAACACACTTACACCTATGTTTACAGGGTCATTAAACGTCAATGAATTGAATACTTTCAGACAGTCATCACGGAACAAAATGTTTGAAGAACTAAAACAGCAGGATGGGACCTAGTGAGTGAGTATGGTTTTACGCCGCTTTTAGCAATATTCCAGCAATATCACGGCGGGGGACACCAGAAATGGGCTTCACACATTGTACCCATGTCGGGAATCGAACCCGGGTCTTCGGCATGACGAGACAACGCTTTAACCACTAGGCTACCCGACCGCCCCTGGATGGGACCTAGAGTTCTGTTCCCAAGATCCACGACCATGTACTGACCGACTTGACCCTGTGACCTATCCCCATGATCAGCTGACCCTTCTTCCTCATGTCGTTGACGAAGTCCATGGGGATCAGACCCGTGTCGTACGCATCACTGAACTGCCTGGCTGCAGCGTCCAGAGCACCACCGAATCTGTCTCCCTGGAAAGTACATAAATATTCGGTAATTGTAAATTTTACAATACATTGTACATTTATATACTCATTTTATCTCACACTATGCATTTATCCAATGGTTGGAAGGTGGGTGAAAATCCCTAGCCTATAAAGGCAACAGCTGTAGGATATACACGAGGAAGCTGGAGCTAAACAGTGATACAGAACAATATTAAGTAACGCCTTCTTGTGTCATAAGACAAAACTTGTGGATGGCAAGTGATGCTAGGTGTGTTTGGGTGAATTGTTTTTTAGAAGCTGGAAACCTTTGTTTGGGTACATTTCCACTTAGGATTGAAAGAAGAACGAGAAATAAAGAGTGTGAGATAGAACAAGTTTAAAAGTGAGTGAGTGAGTGAGTGAGTGAGTGAGTGAGTGAGTGAGTGAGTGAGTGAGTGAGTGAGTGAGTGAGTGAGTGAGTGAGTGAGTGAGTGAGTGAGTGAGTGAGTAGCAGATAGCACTATTCCAGCTGTAAATTGGTGGCTTGTAAATACTGTAATCTAGAGTCAAAACGGGTCGGGCAAATTAGGGACAAAGCATAAGTAAGGTGCACCCAATAAGTCATCATGCAAACAAGTGGTTCTAACCTCCTTGTAACTGGAAAAACACACTGGGCCTCAGTCACCAAGCAAACTCTGATTCTGTCATACGTCAGTGTCTATGAAGGCAACAACACCATAGGTAACTGAGTGAGGGGATGCTGTCAGTCAGCAATATTCCAGCTGTATGACGGTGGCCCGGCAATAATCAAGTGATCCACACCGTTTGGGTACGATTACACACTATTAACCAATTCAGATGTCCGAATACCCGATCCATTTGGTTGACTCTAATGGCCATTACAAGTTGAACTATTCTAACCTGGAATCCCATTAGATAACTAAAGTACTCGTGGTGTGGTGTGGTGTGGTGTGGTGTGGTGTGGTGTGGTGTGGTGTGGTGTGGTGTGGTGTGGTGTGGTGTGGTGTGGTGTGGTGTGGTGTGGTGTGGTGTGGTGTGGTGTGGTGTGGTGTGGTGTGTAGTCCGGACTGATGCCAATTTTACAGTGATAGTCCACTGAGATACCATGCCACAGTTTAACATGAATACCCCACTCAGAAGCAGTATACAGACTCCGAGCCGACCAGTCCTTGTTTTAGCCCCTTAATGCCGAGCGCCAGACAGGGTAACAAGTACCATCTTTTAATGCCTTTTCGCTCTCCGGGCGGACGCTCTACCATGAGACCACGGAGGCGGTCTCCGGGCGGACACTCTACCAAGAGACCACGGAGGCGGTCTCCGGGCAGACGCTCTACCACGAGACCACGGAGACGGTCTCCGGGCAGACGCTCTACCAGGAGACCACGGAGACGGTCTTTCCTACGATGAAGCCAGTAGATACAAGCCTATGAATGTACGTACAATGGTGAGCAGGCCGGACGTGAGAGAGGAGATGAGATCTTTCCCTGCTCGGGCACACACGATGGTGTTGTGAGCACCGGACACAGCCGGGCCGTGGTCGGCAGTCACCATCAGGCACATCTCAATAAACTTGGTGGCATATTTTGGCAATCTGGAAATGACAAGAAAATTAATTCATAATGGGCGTCCTGAAAACAATTGCCATGTCCATTTCCTATTTCAATATTAGATCGGAAACATTAGTAAAATATTTGCTGACGTTCCAGATCCAGCTTACCTCCTTGGAAACCACACATTGACAATAGGCCTAGTCCCTGACATATCCACACTGTCAATGGTCACCCCCTCCAAATGACAACAGACTACCCTGACACCCCCACAAGACAATGGCCTACCCTGACACCCCAATATGACAACAGACTACCCTGACACCCCCACAAGACAATGGCCTTCCCTGACACCCCAATATGACAACAGACTACCCTGACACCCCCACAAGACAATGGCCTACCCTGACACCCCAACATGACAATGGCCTACCCTGACACCCCAATATGACAACAGACTACCCTGACACCCCAACATGACAATGGCCTACCTTGACACCCCAATATGACAACAGACTACCCTGACACCCCCACATGAAAATGGCCTACCTTGACGCCCCAATATGACAACAGACTACTCTGACACCCCCACATGACAATGGCCTACCTTGATACCCCAATATGACAACAGACTACCCTGACATCCCCACATGACAATGGACTACCCTGACACCCCCACATGACAATGGACTACCCTGACACCGCCACATGACAATGGACTACCCTGACACCCCAATATGACAATGGACTACCCTGACACCCCAATATGACAATGGACTACCCTGACACCCCCACATGACAACAGACCACCCTGACACGCCCACATGACAATGGACTACCCTGACACCCCCCAATGACAACAGACCACCCTGACACCCCCACATGACAATGGACTACCCTGACACCCCCACATGACAATGCACTACCCTGACACCCCCACATGACATTGCACTACCCTGACTCTCCAGCAGACAACGGATTACCCTGACACCCCAAAGGACAATAGACTACCCTGACACCCCCACATGACATTGCACTACCCTGACTCTCCATCAGACAATGCACCTACCTCCTCTGGAACCAGAGTAGACTGAGGACTCCCCCGATGCCCATGTCCTCCTTGAAGATGTCGGTGATGGGGATGCCGGCGTACAGCAGCTCATGGCCTCGCTCATCACAGATACTGGTCATGAAGGAGGCAGGCTTCCGGATCAGGCCAAGTTCCTGGAGGACAAATAACCACTTCAGTTGAAATCAGTCAGGAAAGTGTCATACACCAAGGTCATTGCCCCTTCTTTCGAGTCTGCCAGAGGTGCCTGGTATTTTCCTCAATTCTGTCAGCGCACATCACTGAACAAGTGCCTTCCTTTAATTGCCACTGGTCAATGATCAAAGAGTAAACTTTCAACAGTTCCATCAACATATGTTAAGGTGGGTAGAGGGAGCTTTGGCTGAGTTTTCCCTTAAAATCTGTGAAACATCAGGAAGAGATATTTGAAACAATTGAAGCAAACAGAACTGACACCCACATGCCATAGGCTCAGACATGACCTATGTCTACATCCCAAATTTTAAAGGAGACAGACATGACCAACACCTTCCCCTGGGGAGACGAACAGAACTGACACCCACCGCCCAGCCCCTGGGGAGACAAACAGAACTGACATCCACCGCCCAGCCCCTGGGGAGACAAACAGAACTGACACCCACCTGCCCCTGGTGTCAGACAAGACCTGTGTATCCATCACCAAGTAGACAGACATGGCCAACACCCACCCCTGGGGAGACAAACAGAACCGACACCCACCCGCGCCTGGGGAGACAAACAGAACTGACACCCACCCACCCCTGATGAGACAAACAGAACTGACACCCACCCCTGGGGAGACAAACAGAACTGACACCATCCCGCCCCTGGGGAGACAAGCAGAACTGACACCCACCCACCCCTGGGGAGACAAACAGAACTGACACCCACCCGCCCCTGGGGAGACAAACAGAACTGACACCCACCCACCCACCCACCCATGGGGAGACAAGCAGAACTGACACCCACCCACCCCTGGGGAGACAAACAGAACTGACACCCACCCACACATGGTGTCAGACAAGACCTGTGTATCCATCCCCAAGGAGACAGACATGACCAACACCCACCCACCCCTACTCACCCTGGCCCAGTTGTAGTCCATGGGTACTGTGGGTGGGGCTTCCTCTGGCTGGGGCACAATGGCGCCCTCCTCCACCAGTTTCTCATACACCTCTCTGCAAACAACAAATACTTCATTCTTGGAACAAATTACAGTTCAATGTATTGTATACTAGGGCTGGGACAGGTAACTTGGGTACTTGGGTCGGGTGTGTCCGAGTAGGACCTGGGTACCCACAGTACTCCCCAGACACAGGGCTAGGTCACATGATACGAGTATATTGCTTAATGACACAAAATCACTATAGCTCCATGGTTACACTACAAGTCACTAATGTTTACATTTCTTTCTGACTATGCATGCATTACTTCTGACTTTCACATGTTTGAATACAGGTTAAAGTTCAGTCAACTTCAGTGTGTGCATGGCCAGATCGTTTTACAGTGTACCAAAATACGTTTTTTCAGGGCTACGGTCAAACTACCACCAATCGGACATTTTGTACCTATCTCGTGAGACCTACAGCGGGTACCCGGGCAGGGTCAGGTAATAGGGATGTGGGTACCCAGGTAGTAAATCTGGACTGGTCCCAGGCCTACACATTTTTATGTAGCTTTGCTTTGGGGAAATAAATATAATGCTTCCTCTTTACTTTTCATATTTTGGGGGTCAGTAGATTGCTGAACAATAATTTTTTTAAATAAGAATAGAAAACTAAACAAAATTCTTATTCTAGGAATAAGCAACAAATGTGCAACATAATCATTCATACGACTTTAATCAATCTTAAATCATTTCTTACCGAATGAGAGTTCCGAGTTCATCAAAGCTTCGGGGTACACTAGCTCCAACCTCTTTCAGAGCCTTGTTCTTGGCCTCTGCTGTCTCAGACTCTGCATTTGCACATGCCCCTGCATGGCCAAACTGAACCTGCAACACACCAACAGGGGGACGTACAGGGTCTACACCAACAGGGGGACGTACAGGGTCTACACCAACAGGGGGACGTACAGAGTCTACACCAACAGGGGGACGTACAGAGTCTACACCAACAGGGGGACGTACAGAGTCTACACCAACAGGGGGACGTACAGGGTCTACACCAACAGGGGGACGTACAGAGTCTACACCAACAGGGGAACGTACAGAGTCTACACCAACAGGGGGACGTACAGAGTCTACACCAACAGGGGGACGTACAGAGTCTACACCAACAGGGGGACGTACAGAGTCTACACCAACAGGGGGACGTACAGAGTCTACACCAACAGGGGGACGTACAGGGTCTACACCAACAGGGGGACGTACAGGGTCTACACCAACAGGGGGACGTACAGAGTCTACACCAACAGGGGGACGTACAGAGTCTACACCAACAGGGGGACGTACAGAGTCTACACCAACAGGGGGACGTACAGGGTCTACACCAACAGGGGGACGTACAGAGTCTACACCAACAGGGGAACGTACAGAGTCTACACCAACAGGGGGACGTACAGAGTCTACACCAACAGGGGGACGTACAGAGTCTACACCAACAGGGGGACGTACAGAGTCTACACCAACAGGGGGACGTACAGAGTCTACACCAACAGGGGGACGTACAGGGTCTACACCAACAGGGGGACGTACAGGGTCTACACCAACAGGGGGACGTACAGAGTCTACACCAACAGGGGGACGTACAGAGTCTACACCAACAGGGGGACGTACAGAGTCTACACCAACAGGGGGACGTACAGGGTCTACACCAACAGGGGGACGTACAGAGTCTACACCAACAGGGGAACGTACAGAGTCTACACCAACAGGGGGACGTACAGAGTCTACACCAACAGGGGAACGTACAGAGTCTACACCAACAGGGGGACATACAGAGTCTACACCAACAGGGGAACGTACAGGGTCTACACCAACAGGGGGACGTACATTCTACACCAACAGGGGGACGTACAGAGTCTACACCAACAGGGGGACCAACAGAGTCTACACCAACAGGGGGACGTACAGGGTCTACACCAACAGGGGGACGTACAGAGTCTACACCAACAGGGGAACGTACAGAGTCTACACCAACAGGGGGACATACAGAGTCTACACCAACAGGGGGATGTACAGAGTCAACACCAACAGGGAAACGTACAGAGTCTACACCAACAGGGGAACGTACAGAGTCTACACCAACAGGGGGACGTACAGAGTCTACACCAACAGGGGGACGTACAGAGTCTACACCAACAGGGAAACGTACAGAGTCTACACCAACAGGGGAACGTACAGAGTCTACACCAACAGGGGGACGTACAGAGTCTACACCAACAGGGGAACGTACAGAGTCTACACCAACAGGGGGACGTACAGAGTCTACACCAACAGGGGAACGTACAGTCTACACCAACAGGGGGACGTACAGAGTCTACACCAACAGGGGGACGTACAGTCAACACCAACAGGGGAACGTACAGGGTCTACACCTCAGGTTATATCCTGAGTGAGTGAGGTTGGTTTAACACTGCTTTGGACAGTATTTCAGTTATATCATGACATCTCAGGTTAATGTAGATGAAAGTCCAAGTCTTAAACGTTTACAACTTTGGTGAAACCACAGGCATGGGCATGGTGCTGACAAACCTGGTAACAATCATGGCTGAGATTCAAACAAATGATCACAGGATCCTGCCATGATTAAGGGACAATACTCTGTTTTGAAAATTGCATGCCTTAGGTGACTGGACCATTAATACTTCTTCAAAATCGATAATCATCAGCGTATCCAAAAAGTGATAATTCACTGGTGAAACTTCCTTAATTATCCAGTTATTTCTCAATTGCATTAAAAAAACAACAACCTACACTGACAGCGGCAAAAGCCACGTAAAATTGAAATAACTCTCTGCCAGGGAGCATTTATTTCTCTTCATCACATTATTCATATGAATAATCCTGTCAGATCTACAACTGAAATCAGACTATTTGTAGAAAACAGCACTACCTCAAAGCTATATTTTAGTGAGCTGACAGCTCTTACCTCTGAGGTGAACATCTTGGCACAGGTTCCGATACACCAGGCGATCACAGGCTTATTGACTCGGTTCTCCTTCAGGGCGTTGACCAGCCGGTACTCCTCCACCCCACCGACCTGCAACACAACCAACCTGGCTCACAGTCACACCAAACAATGGGGGAGATGAAATGGGGTTTTACTTTACGTTCAAGATTATGGCACTCAAGTAGCATATGCATGCACACGTGTGGCTGCTTGTACTGGTCCGGACTATCACTGGTCTTATTGTGCTGGTCCAATGAGATACCATGCTGCAGTGTAACGACTCCGAGCCGACCAGTCCTTGTTTTAGCCCCTGAATGCCGAGGGCCAGGAAGAAAAACAACAAGTACCATGCTTAAACGTCTTTTGATATGATGCAGCCGGGATCAAAATACTGACCCACCAGATGCTGGAGGTGGTCACTAAACAATGGAGTTAGGGAATGAATGTTGTTGAAATACTAATCTTTTCCTTGGAATGTTCTCAGACAATCCCGGCAAATATTTACTCTACATAGTTAACTGCAGGTTTGCCCAAGTCCTGAATAACATCTAGTTTTATACAAGTTCAACCTTACCAAGTCCAAATTTGAACTGACATCAAAATCACATCTAAGGTTACGATTTTAGAATTTTGGATGAAGAACGCACCTCTCCGAGGAGCACCAACATTTTAACTTCTGGGTTGTCTTGGTAACGAAGGATGTGGTCCATAAATGTGGTTCCTGGGTATCTGGAATACGACAGAAACCAATAACAGTAACAATGACTCAGAATACATAATAGAAGTGAATATTTCTGACAGGTGTTGTCCTCTGAGTTTCACAACAGCAAGAAACAGTTCAGTATCAAAGGTTAAGAATAATATATTCTACAGCTGTTACAAAGCAAGCCCTACCTATCTCCTCCAATGGCTACTCCCTCGTACACGCCATTGGTGTTGAGGGCGATGATGTTGTTCAGCTCATTAGACATGCCCCCGGAACGAGACACGTAGGCCACACTGAAAACACAATACCAGTAGTTGGAATCAATAGAGACAGGAAGGACACAAATCTATCCAGATCTTCACCTTTCTATAAATGAAATTGAATTTCAAAGTATTGATGTTCTTTAATCACATTAATGATAAAATACTACTGCAGATGATATTATTCTACTTCTCAATGTGATTCACATACAATACTACTTCTCAGTGTGATTCACATACAATAGTACTTCTCAATGTGATTCACATACAATACTACTTCTCAGTGTGATTCACATACAATACTACTTCTCAATGTGATTCACATACAATACTACTTCTCAGTGTGATTCACATACAATACTACTTCTCGATGTGATTCACATACAATACTACTTCTCAATGTGATTCACATACAATACTACTTCTCAATGTGATTCACATACAATACTACTTCTCAATGTGATTCACATACAATACTACTTCTCAATGTGATTCACACATACAGTAAACTACGGTTATAATGAACTCAAAGGGACCACTAATTTTAGTTTGTTATAACCGTTGTTCGTTATAATCGTATATAAAGCACATATACAGCAAATGTCTGGGACCAAAAAAACCAGTTCCTTATAAGCGTGTTCGTTTTGGCAGATTATCTGGATGAGGGGAAGTAACTCTTACCTGCCAGGCCTGTACAGCTTGGAGGAGAGAATATTGTCCAACATGCCGCCTGTGTTGCCAATCTTGAAGGAGCCGGGCTTAACACCACCCACCTGTAATGAAACACAACATCTGTACAACCCTGGCCAAGTTAAGTGTCAGGGCTCGTCCCTCGTACATGCTCAAGCCAAAGGGGTCATCTAGTCACGTGCTCATGTGTCAGGGCCCCTCTGGTCACGTGCTCATGTGTCAGGGCCCCTCTGGTCATGGGCTCATGTGTCAGGGACCCTCTGGTCACGTGCTCATGTGTCAGGGCCCCTCTGGTCATGTGCTCCTGTGTCAGGGCCCCTCTGGTCACGTGCTCCTGTGTCAGGGCCCCTCTGGTCATGTGCTCCTGTGTCAGGGCCCCTGTGGTCACGTGCTCATGTGTCAGGGCCCCTCTGGTCACGTGCTCATGTGTCAGGGCCCCTGTGGTCACGTGCTCATGTGTGAGGGCCCCTCTGGTCACGTGCTCAAGTGTCAGGGCCCCTGTGGTCACGTGCTCATGTGTCAGGGCCCCTGTGGTCACGTGCTCAAGGTCGTGGCCCCTCTGGTCACATGTTCAAGTTTCAGGCATGACTGGTCACATGATGCATGGTCAAATGTTAGGCATTTTCAAATATTGTATGCCATTTTGTGACAATGTATTGCAGTACACACTATCTGTGTCCCCATTTAATTGAACTCAGCAATAAAGAGTATTCAGCATTTATGTCCCCTCAGTATAGGGCGCGAGTATCTTGAGACGTGCAAGCATGTACTCACCGTGGCCGGCCCAATGATTGTGACTTTCTTCTCATCAGCTGTCTTGACCAGCTGGCGCGTGAGATTCTCCGGGATGCCCTCGGCAATGATGGCAATTGTTCTGATCTGAAGACAGGGTAAAACATGGGTAATTCATCACAATAAAACGTAAAACTGTCCCTACCATATGAATCTATTCAAAGCAGAGTCGAAACAATTGAATCTACACACGTTGAAAGTCTATGTTTGAGTATGGAAGTTACAATCATAGCACAATGAATAATCTGCCTTACTTTGTTTATAGTGTGTACCCTTTGTTGGTACAAGATTTAGGAAAATCTGCCCTATATAATAGCTGACAATATGCCCACCATATCTGTGAACAAGCATATGTGTAGGCTGTGTCCTGTGATACCCAGAGTGAGTGAGTGAGTGAGTTGGGTTTAACGCTGTTTTTAACAGTATTCCAGTTATATCAGGGCGTGTCAGCTTAATGTGGGAGGAAAGCCCAAAGTGATGCAGGTCTCAGACGTTTACTACTTTGATGAAACCCACGATCACGGGTATGGTGCTGACAAACCTAGAAACATAATCGGGGCGAACCGGGATTCGAACCCACAATCCTAGGTTTCTGGCATGCCCAAGGGACACAACTCTGCACAGTGATACCCAGAGCTATTAACAGGTAAGGTTGTTTTTCAATAAAATGTTGACATTATTTTCGTCATAAAAAGTATAATCAAATGACATCTACCTGAGGAAAGTTCATGGTTTCCACTGTGCTTTCGTAGGCCGATCTGAGAGAAGCAAAGTTGATGAGCACGTCCGCATCGGGATGTTTCTTCATACAGTCAGCCATGTTCTTGTAGGCTAGGTGAGACAGGAATATCTTCAAACATTGTATATTCATGGCAAACTAAGAGACCATAGGTCCATAGTTCAACGTATTTACAAGGTATGCATGTTTCTTCTAACAATGCATGATTTATGTACAATATTTTGTAATAACGTAATATTTGAGGTTGACATGAGTATGCAAAACAAATTGATATTTGGATAAGATGTAAACTTCTTTGGAATTGTTGTTTCTTAATTGAAGAGAGAGTTTACACACAAGCAGGAAATGATACTCATTTTCTACAACATTAAGGTTACAAGATGGACCCATATTGATAGACTTTTGAAATTTATAGATCTTTCAATCATAATAACCTGCTCTGTTCATAGGAATATCATTATTCTCAAATATCATGAACACACATCTCAGCATAGTCAGACAAAAATGAAGAAATGGGTTGAATGAGTGAATGAAAACAAACAAAATTACACCACAGTCTGCAGTCCAGCTACATCACAGCAAACTCAAAATGAAACCAGTCTGGACCAGGCCAACCAGTGGTCAACAGCATGAGCAAAGCTCCACATTCTGATGGACCAAACCTCATTCTAGTGGGTTCCACGACAAACTTGGGACCTATCTGAATGGCATCACCATGATGGGTTTGTCTACCGTAAATATAGGTATGTGTGACTTTGATTTCCTAAATTTGAGTGAGAGTGAGTGAGTGAGTATGGTTTTACGCCGTTTTTATCAATATTCCAGCAATATCACGGCGGGGGACACCAGAAATGGGCTTCGAACCCGGGCCTTCGGCGTGACGAGCGAACGCTTTAACCACTGGGCTACCCGACCGCCCCTCGTAAATTTGAAACGTCTAGCAGGGAGATATACACCTGGAGTTAATCCCACTAGTCCATGGCTCATTCTGAAAATATTTTGACTTCTGGAATATTGGCAAAAAATTCATAAAACAAAACACTGAATAGATCTGACATTTAATTGAAGACAAACGTTTGGATGAAGTGTCTTACCTGGGATAAGCACTTCTTTGTGTCCCCAGTAGAATTTCTGCTTATGGTCACCTCTGTAAAAAAACACGAGTTGGTGAGAGAGGCTATGTAATAATATCAAGGTGTCTTTCTTTAATCAAATAATTGGTTGTTTGTTTGTTTGCTTGACACTGCACTGAGCAATATTCCAGCTATAAGACGGCGTTCTGTAAATAATCGAGTCTGGACTGGACAATCCAGTGATTGACATAATGAACATTGGTCCACGCAATTTGGATACGATGACATGCATCAACCATGTCAGAAAGTCTGACCATCCGATCCCGTTAAAGCCTCTTATGACAAGCATAGTCACCTTTTATGGCAAGCATGGGTTGCTGAAGACCTATTCTATCCACGGGTCTATTCCGACACCTTGTTAATTTGGTGACTTGGTTATTATTTGCACCCTTCCCTTTTCAAATTCCTGGATGTGTCTGCACACACATGCAACAATAAGAGTGAGTCAGTGAGTGAGTTGGGTTTAAAGCCGCTTTTAACATTATTCCAGTTATATCACGGCATGTCAGCTCAATGTGGGAGGAAAGCCCGAAGTGATGCAGGTCTAAGACGTTTACAACTCCGGTGAAACCCACTAGCAAGGGTATGGTGCTGACAAACCCAGAAACATAATCGGGGCGAACCGGGATTCGAACCCACGATCAAAGGTTTCTGGCGTGCCCAAGGGACGCAACTCTGCACAGCGAATTGTGGCACCTTAGACGACTGAGCCACCCGTGCCCCCGCAACAAAAGGACAAAACATGACAGTACATACGTGAATGGGTAGATCATAGCGACAACGGAGGGCTCCTTGCGGGAACACACGTAGTCGTAGTCCATCATGCTTTGCACCGCCCTCATCTGCATGCCCCAGATGACAGCCTTGGTGCCCTTGGTGAACAACATCTTATCTTTGTTACCCTCCACCTGATTGGCCAACGTTTCAAGCTGAGCACTGGCTGTCGAGGATGTTGATTGGTTGAGCTCGTTGGAGGACCCCCTGCGGCTTGTGGTTGGGGACTGAAATCAAGGGCTATTTTCAGTCTATTTTCTCATTGTACACTTTGTTCACAAAAGTAATAGTGCAGGTGATCAAAAATATTTGTCACAAGTGTTTATTTGTTTGTTGTTTACCGCGACACTCAGAAATATTCCGGCTATATGATGGCAGCCTGTAAGCAGTCCACTCTGAACCAGACAATCCAGTGATCGATGCAGCACACTCCGCAGATTAGTGTGAGCAATGTCGGGTACGATGACACGCAATCAACCAAGTCACCGAGTCTCTCCTAACCAGTACAGGTTCCTGTGGAGCAATTCTAGCCTGTAATCCACACAGAGCTTGTCACAAGTGACTAGCTCGTGAAATTACAGCTGTGACTTCCTGGAAGAGGTTCTCCAAAGACTTGTCAGTTATAGTCAGGATCTGAGACAGGACATGGCATGGGGTATATTCAGTCTTGCGCAAAGATAACCTTACTTTTGGTTGGTTTGGTTTGTTGTTTAATGCCACACTCAGCAATATTGCAGCTGGCGGTCTGTAAATAATCAAGTCTGGACCAAACAAACCAGTGATTGATATCATGAGCATCGATCCGCGCAATTGGGATCGATGACATGCTTCAACCAAGTCAGCGAGTCTGACCACCCGATCCCGTTAGTCGCCTTTTTACGACAAGAATAGTCACCTTTTACGGCAAGCATGGGTTGCTGAAGACCTATTCTACCCCGGAAGATGATAACCTTACTGATATAACTAGATCTTAGCATCTTACGTTTCTCAAATTCTGTCTTGAATACTAGAGATTTACTTTGAAGGTTTTAATCATCACAAATGATTTCAGAGCAAAAATATCTGGTGATTTACACCAGGAACTTCTTTAATTTAACTGGAAAAAACATAATCATTGATAACGGTGTAAGTATCTACATCGAAATATCGCTATAAGCAATAAACCAGAAGTTGTTATCCATAAAGTTGTATGTTTTTCTTACTTAATGGTTTACATTGCGCACGAAGATTCTGAAATCCTTCAGTGTTCAATCCTAAATCAGACCCCTAACACCCAAAGCATAGTTGCCTTTTATGGCAAGCATGGGTTGCTGAAGACCTACTCTACCCAAGATCTTCATGGGTCATTGGGGTAAAGATATACATATAAGAATCAACGCCAAACCTGAAACAAAAACTTTAAACACAATCCAAATAACAAAACATACCACCAACTTTTTAAGAAACCATGGATCCAATATGTTAAAAGAAACAGTTCCCATGTGAAGATATAAGGCAGAGGTTCTACTGTTAAGGTTATAATGGCCATTCGACAAGAACAAAGGAAAGATAAGCGTCCATTTATTATGATAATCATCAAAATATTTTTAAGTGTGAGTGGGTGAGTTTGTTTAATGCCGAGTATATATAAGTTGTGTAACAGCGTGCCAGCTTGACATGGGAGGAAAGCCTGATGTCATGCAGATCATACACATTTACTGCTGAGGTGAAACGCATGACCATGAGCAAGGTGCTGACAAACCTAGTGTTTGTTTGTTGGTTGGTTTGTTGTTTAACGCCGCACTCAGCAATAATTACGCAGTTCCTTCCATGTGAGGCTCGTATCTTATCAGTCAACTCTCGTATATCAGCTATCTGTCACCCAAACATGCCAGGGAAGCTAGAGGTGATGAAACCCACAATCAGGGTTATTGTGCAGACATGAAGTTCGGACCCACGACCAGCGAGCCTTGTGTGGTGACGTAAGGGAATCGTGCAATCTGATTTGTTTTTGTTTGTTTGTTTGTTTAACGCCGCACTCAGCAATATTCCAGCTATATGACGGCAGTCTGTAAATAATCAGGTCCGGACCAGGCAATCCAGTGATACACATCATGAGCATGGATCTGCGCAATTGGGATATGATGACATGCATCAACCAAGTCAGCGAGCCTGACCACCCAATCCCCTTAGACGCCTCTTATTACAAGCAGAGTCGCCTTTTACAGCAAGCACGGGTTGCTGAAGACCTACTCTACCCCGGATCTTCACGGGTAGACAAACCTATAGTCTCAATGAGGACATATCAGGTATTCAAGACAGGATCACATGTTTTTAAGGAATAAAGGAAAAAGCTTGGCAGGACAATATACAAATACATAAAGCATGATACAAAATACACTTCCCCAAAGAAGTTGAAGAACATGTGATCGTTCATATGACTATAGTTTAACTATTGTCATAGAAATATTATTTTTTTATATCAGGTTTTCTGTAACTTCTTTTGAGTAATATATACTTCAAAATTGCCAAGGACACAGTTAATGAAATACATTAGAAAAACAAAGGCTGACTGAAAGGAATGCAGTGGTTGTTATAAAGCCTTGAGACAAGGGTTGGAAGGTGCTCTTTGACAGGAACAGCTATTGTATATGTTACTCAAATACTGACAGGGACCCAGTGTCCAGATGGGGACTCGATTGTCTGAAGATGTTGTACAAGTAGTATTCAATGCTATTGTAGTAATGAGTATTTTTCACATTCTTTTGAAGTTCAATCACACATAAATACACTTTTCAATGAGTTTCAAAATAATATTAAATAGTACAGTATCTCTATCAAATCTGTCTAACACTGCTTTGTTTCATCAGTCCCAGGACACCTAACCTGAGTATTTCTTAAAAAAAATAACAATTTTATAGTCTTCTGAAGACGAAATATATTATCTTAACATTTAATAATATAGCACCTTTTTTAAATCTATTACAAAAGCCTTTCAGAAACTCTAGCTAGTTTCTTCCTGGTGGGCGACCATATTGAAGAGGAACACTATGTCCAGTCAAGGTCAAGATGGTGTCCATCTCATTAAAATCAGATCTTAGTTCTCACTACCGCTAAACAAAGATCTGAGGACATCCCATTAAGGGTCACGTTTGACCAACCTTGCGTGAACTTTGACCGACCAATGGAATGACCAATCAGAAGGCAGCTTTCTCGTGCTTTATGGCACTAATTTAAAATTGGCAACTACGCTTCGAAACATATTTTCACAAATTCTCGATTACAAATTTGAAACCTGAACAAAAGAACATTCTGGAATGACTAAGATGGTCTAGATTGTATGGATATAGTCGTTAAACCCGTAACTATCGTTCGGAGTTAAAGTTTTCGAGGTTGCATGATTAGAAATCACATTCCGACTGTCACTTTCTTAATCTGGTAAGCAATGCTCTGATTGGTCGGATGAAAGGTCGTTCTGACGTGACCACTAATAGGATGTCCTCAGATCCTTGTTTCGCGGTAGCGAGAGCTGAGGTCTGATTTTAATGAGACTGAGATGATGTCAGTTGTGCGGTGTGTGGAACTGAGTCATCATCTCTACAAGGAGGGGACCGTGGACTCCTAGACTGGTACACATTGCAAAGTTCTAAACTAGTTGTGAGTGAGCATGGCAAGTGAGTGAGTGAGTGAGTGATCTTTAATACTGATTTGAGTGAGTGAGTGAGTGAGTATGGTTTTACGCCGCTTTTAGCAATGTTCCAGCAATATCACGGCGGGGGACACCAGAAATGGGCTTCACACATTGTACCCATGTCGGGAATCGAACCCGGGTCTTCGGCATGACGAGCGAATGTTTTAACCGCTAGGCTACCCGACCACCCCAATACTGATTTGAACAGTATCACAGTTATATCTTGGTGTGTTTGAGGAGAGCCTGAAGTGACGCAGGTCTGAAAAGTTTACCAGTATGGTGAAGCCCATGAGAAAAGACATGGTGCTGACAAACCTAGAAATCTTCAAACTTACGATCATAAGATCCTTGAACATCAAAGGGACACAATTCTGCGTAACTCCTCACCACCACCCCAGAGAGGGAATCGTAAACAATCATTGAGTGAAGTTATGGTTCATTGTTTTTTGATTAAGAAAATGAGAAACAGACTTTAGCTATCTTTACGAAAAGTCTGCAGTAGTAAGTGTTGCCGCTATGGCTGCTGATTAAATATTAGTCTTGTACTAGGATGCATGACAAAGCACATGCTAAGATTTTCATCTGAGGCGTCAATACAGCATTTGTACAACTACTCCCACATGTTAATGCTATAGTTCTACCATAGGACTAGTGTCAAATAACAGAAGAACCAAAAGGTTGTGTAGCTCACCTCATACCTCATTTCCATTCTTTACACAGAGCCTTGCTCCATATCGAAAGTAGATTATCTATGTATAAAGTATGCTAACATGATTTAAACAAACAATCATAAACTGTTTGGGGACACTAACAACTGTATTGTCCCCCATTTTGAAGAAGAAAACGCTGAAACCACAAGGCTCCCACTGCTTCAAAAAGACCCTAGATTAAATATACCACACAAAAGATGGTTGGTTTGGTTGGTTTCTTGTTTAACGCTGCACTTAGCAATATTTCAGCTATGACGGCGGTCTGTAAATAATCGAGTCTGGACCAGACAATCCAGGGATTGATATCATGATCATCGATCCACACAATTGGGATCGATGACATGCATCAACCAAGTCAGCGAGCCTGACCACCCGATCCCGTTAGTCGCCTTTTACGACAAGCATAGTCGCCTTTTACGGCAAGCATGGGTTGCTGAAGACCTGCTCTACCCCGGATCTTCACAGGTTAGAAGGTCAGGAAAACCTGATTTTTTTTAATGTGACTTTAGTCAGTCTGTCATGGCTTTATGTTGTTTGGAATATACTTGTTTACAACACACGGAGGACAAAGCACATACATATAATGCCACAAAGACCTTTTGATCCAGGTGACCTAGGAACAGCGACAACATTTGAATGCATACAGGCAGGCAAGGGAATAAAGGCTTAAGTTTGAGGCGGACAACATGAAAATATTACTGAATCTACCTTGGCCAGCTGAAAACAAAACAAAGTCAAGTTTACTCCGAGGGACACAACAATCAGATCTGTTCAGCTTAAACACTTAGTTCATTAAGAGTGTAATCACCATTCAGGACATGACACAGAACACAATGGGTGAACCTTTTAAATGGAGTCAATATGTAAAGGGTGACGCTTAACAATTTTCAAGGTGTACACTTAACAAAGATTTGATTAACAAAAAGACGGGATATGGATACATGAATGTAGGCATGTATACCCATGTCAATAATATTCTCAATGCTTTAAATATAAAAAAACATCTTTTAATTATTTAAAATAAATAAATACCATTACTTCCAAAAATAATGAAAAAATATGTTTGAATACTCACAGCTCCCCCTGGTAGCAGGAAGTTGGCAGTTGTCTGAAGCCGTTTAGGCATAGGTGGGATATCTCGCTTGCCGAGAGCCATACTGACAATGGCGGTCATGTGAGTCTCAGGTCCGAACACTTGGATCGGTACGCCAAGGTTGTCCCCTGGAAAACAAATCCATCATGAAACCGAGCTTAAACATTCACCACTCACTGTACTTGTAGAGCACACCCATCAGTCGAACGTGTGATCATTTATGCAATAACACGTTCAGTGAGCGAGTTGGGTTTTACTCTGCTTTTAGGAATGGCTTCACACACTGTAATTGTGTGTTGAAATACCCGTGAGTTCAGCTTGTCAAGCCTGTGCTTGCCTTACTCTTGCTAACAGGATGTTCTGACAACAGAGCAGCTGTTATGTTCACTCACCAAGTTCTCTCATAATGCGAAGTCCCTCCTGATAGTTGGGTCCAGCTCGCCGCACGTAGATCTTCACGTCAAACTCGATCAACTTCTGCTGGAACTCTAAAAGAGCTCGCACGATACCCTGTAAACAGTACAGCATCTTGTAATATGCAGTGAAACCCTCTCACTATGGATATTATAAATACAGTGCAACCTTGTAAATATGGATTTTGCTTATACAGTGCAACTTTTTTACTATGGGTACAGCCAGACCCTCACAGTCCGTATATGATCTATGATGACACAGCTGGACCCTGCTAAACTGGAAACCATATATTCTTGGTGATTCTTGGTGGCTTGTTCAATACCTGGTTTATCTGCCATTGATAATTATTCCTTCAAATGCAACATCAAACTGTGAATAATGTCATATATTTCTAAAAGAAAAATTCCAATATTCCTATGACAGAGGATCAAAGAAGAAAGAGAGATGCACAGTGTGAAATATGAAAATAGAAAAAGTTTTAAAATGTACCTACGACCAACCAGATCAGAGCAAGCAGAGAACAATATCAATTTAAGCATAGTTTTCCTTTCAAATTCCAAGTTAAAGGGGGCACGGATGGCCCAGTCGTCTAAGGCGCCGCAATTGGCTGTTCAGAGTTGCGTCCCTCGGGCACGCCAGAAACCTATGATTGTGGGTTTGAATCCTAGTTCGCCCCAAGTATGTTTCTAGGTTTGCCAGCACCATACCCATGCTTGTGGGTTTCACCGAAGTGGTAAACGTCTGAGACCTGCATCACTTTGGGCTTTCCTTCCACATAAAGCTGACACGCCGTGATATAACTTGAATACTGTTTAAAGCGGCGTTAAACATAACTCACTCACTACAAGTCAAAACAAAACTTGCGTTCAAAAATTACAGTGTAGTCACCTTGCAAATACCATTTTGTTTCAATTCCAACTAACACTTCAACTTTTAATCCCACATGAATTTTGTTAATCAGGTTAAAAAGATCAGTTTATGAAAAAACAAAAACAAACTTACCTTGAACGTCATAGCTACATTTGTGAAGTTGGCTATGCCACCACCAATGATGAGTATCTTGCCTGAAATTAATACACAAGCATTAAACAAGCACAGACAGCGCCACCTATCATCAGACTCATGAAGTAAGGGAGGTGAGGTGAGGTGAAATGGGGTTAAACGTCGCGTCCAAGATTATTGCACTTATATAGCGACGTGCATGCACGTGTGTGTGTTTGTGTGGCTGCTTGTACTAGTCCGGACTGATGCCGATTTATAGGGCTAGCACACTGAGATACCATGCCGCAGTTTAACATGAATACCCCACTCAGACACAGTATACTGACTCCGAGCCGACCAGTCCTTGTCTTAGCCCCTTAATGCCGAGTGCCAGACAGGGTAACAACAAGTACCATCTTTTAACGTCTTTTGTTATGACGCGGCCGGGGATCGAACCCCGGACCTTCTGCTCTCCGTGCGGACGCTCTACCACTAGACCACGGAGGCGGTCTGGCCACTACATAAGCTCAGGTAAGCTAAAAAGTCTCAATCAGTGAGACTGACGTTACAAAAGTGGATCTGACCGTTCCTTACCTTCGGCATGCTTCTCCTGCGTCATGAGACTGAGGATTGTCTTGGCGTATTCGTATGTCTGCTGCTCACTGGGCGCTCCCGAGTACTCGCCATAGTTCGCCAACTCAGAGGCTCCTCCCAGGTCACAGATGGTGTCACTGAAGGTGAAGGTCATTAACTTTTGATGTCTTGTGTCTGTATACACATGTTTATACAACAGAGGGATGTCTTGTGCCTGTATACATATGTTTATACAACAGAGGGATGTCTTGTGTCTGTACACATGTTTATACAACAGAGGGATGTCTTGTGTCTGTATACACATGTTTATACAACAGAGGGGTGTCTTGTGTCTGTATACACATGTTTATACAACAGAGGGATGTCTTGTGTCTGTACACATGTTTATACAACAGAGGGAGGTATTGTGTCTGTATACACGTTTATACAACAGAGGGATGTCTTGTGTCTGTACACATATGTTTATACAACAGAGGGGTGTCTTGTGTCTGTATACATATGTTTATACAACAGAGGGGTGTCTTGTGTCTGTATACATATGTTTATACAACAGAGGGATGTCTTGTGTCTGTATACACATGTTTATACAACAGAGGGATGTCTTGTGTCTGTACACATGTTTATACAACAGAGGGAGGTATAGGGTCTGTACACATGTTTATACAACAGAGGGATGTCTTGTGTCTGTATACATATGTTTATACAACAGAGGGAGGTATTGTGTCTGTATACATGTTTATACAACAGAGGGGTGTCTTGTGTCTGTATACACATGTTTATACAACAGAGGGATGTCTTGTGTCTGTACACATGTTTATACAACAGAGGGAGGTATTGTGTCTGTATACACGTTTATACAACAGAGGGATGTCTTGTGTCTGTACACATATGTTTATACAACAGAGGGGTGTCTTGTGTCTGTATACATATGTTTATACAACAGAGGGGTGTCTTGTGTCTGTATACATATGTTTATACAACAGAGGGATGTCTTGTGTCTGTATACACATGTTTATACAACAGAGGGATGTCTTGTGTCTGTACACATGTTTATACAACAGAGGGAGGTATAGGGTCTGTACACATGTTTATACAACAGAGGGATGTCTTGTGCCTGTATACATATGTTTATACAACAGAGGGAGGTATTGTGTCTGTATACATGTTTATACAACAGAGGGGTGTCTTGTGTCTGTATACATATGTTTATACAACAGAGGGGTGTCTTGTGCCGGTAGACAAATGTTTATACAACAGAGGGAGGTATTGTGTCTGTATATACATGTTTATACAACAGAGGGGTGTCTTGTGCCTGTATACATATGTTTATACAACAGAGGGATGTCTTGTGTCTGTATACACATGTTTATACAACAGAGGGATGTCTTGTGTCTGTACACATGTTTATACAACAGAGGGGTGTCTTGTGTCTGTATACATATGTTTATACAACAGAGGGATGTCTTGTGTCTGTATACACATGTTTATACAACAGAGGGATGTCTTGTGTCTGTACACATGTTTATACAACAGAGGGAGGTATAGGGTCTGTACACATGTTTATACAACAGAGGGATGTCTTGTGTCTGTATACATATGTTTATACAACAGAGGGAGGTATTGTGTCTGTATACATGTTTATACAACAGAGGGGTGTCTTGTGTCTGTATACACATGTTTATACAACAGAGGGATGTCTTGTGTCTGTACACATGTTTATACAACAGAGGGAGGTATTGTGTCTGTATACACGTTTATACAACAGAGGGATGTCTTGTGTCTGTACACATATGTTTATACAACAGAGGGGTGTCTTGTGTCTGTATACATATGTTTATACAACAGAGGGGTGTCTTGTGTCTGTATACATATGTTTATACAACAGAGGGATGTCTTGTGTCTGTATACACATGTTTATACAACAGAGGGATGTCTTGTGTCTGTACACATGTTTATACAACAGAGGGAGGTATAGGGTCTGTACACATGTTTATACAACAGAGGGATGTCTTGTGCCTGTATACATATGTTTATACAACAGAGGGAGGTATTGTGTCTGTATACATGTTTATACAACAGAGGGGTGTCTTGTGTCTGTATACATATGTTTATACAACAGAGGGGTGTCTTGTGCCGGTAGACAAATGTTTATACAACAGAGGGAGGTATTGTGTCTGTATACACATGTTTATACAACAGAGGGGTGTCTTGTGCCTGTATACATATGTTTATACAACAGAGGGAGGTATTGTGCCTGTATACATATGTTTATACAACAGAGGGGTGTCTTGTGCCTGTATACATATGTTTATACAACAGAGGGGTGTCTTGTGCCTGTATACATATGTTTATACAACAGAGGGATGTCTTGTGCCTGTATACATTGTTTATACAACAGAGGGAGGTATTGTGTCTGTATACATGTGTTTATACAACAGAGGGGTGTCTTGTGTCTGTATACATATATTTATACAACAGAGGGATGTATTGTATCTTTATACATGTTTATACAACAGAGGGATGTCTTGTGCCTGTATACATTGTTTATACAACAGAGGGAGGTATTGTGTCTGTATACATGTGTTTATACAACAGAGGGGTGTCTTGTGTCTGTATACATGTGTTTATACAACATAGAAAGGTATTGTGTCTGTATACACATGTTTATACAACAGAGGAATGTCTTGTGTCTGTATACATATGCTTATTCAACAGAGGGGTGTCTTGTGTCTGTATACACATGTTCATACAACAGAGGGATGTCTTGTGTCTGTACACATGTTTATACAACAGAGGGATGTCTTGTGTCTGTACACATGTTTATACAACAGAGGGATGTCTTGTGTCTGTATATATATGCTTATACAACAGAGGGATGTCTTGTGTCTGTATACATGTGTTTATACAACAGAGGGGTGTCTTGTGTCTGTACACGTTTATACAACAGATGGATGTCTTGTGTCTGTATACATATTTATACAACAGAGGGATGTATTGTATCTTTATACATGTTTTAACAACAGAGGGATGTCTTGTGTCTGTATACACATGTTTATACAACAGAGGGAGGTATTGTGTCTGTATACATATGTTTATACAACAGAGGGAGGTATTGTGTCTGTATACATATGTTTATACGACAGAGGGAGGTATTGTGTCTGTATACACATGTTTATACGACAGAGGGATGTCTTGTGTCTGTATACAAATGTTTATACAACAGAGGGAGGTATTGTGTCTGTACACATATGTTTATACGACAGAGGGATGTCTTGTGCCTGTATACATATGTTTATACGACAGATGGATGTCTTGTATCTGTATACATATGTTTATAAAACAGAGGGAGGTATTGTGTCTGTACACACATGTTCATACAACAGAGGGAGGTATTGTGTCTGTATACATGTTTATACAACAGAGGGAGGTATTGTGTCTGTATACATATGTTTATAAAACAGAGGGATGTCTTGTGTCTGTATACATATGTTTATACAACAGAGGGATGTCTTTTGTCTGTACACACATGTTTATACAACAGAGGGAAGAATTGTGTCTGTATACACATGTTTATACGACAGGGAGGTATTGTGTCTGTATACATATGTTTATACAACAGAGGGAGGTATTGTGTCTGTATACATATGTTTATACAACAGAGGGAGGTATTGTGTCTGTATACATATGTTTATACGACAGAGGGATGTCTTGTGTCTGTATACATATATTTATACAACAGAGGGAGGTATTTTGTGTATACATATGTTTATACAACAGAGGGATGTCTTGTGTCTGTATACATATGTTTATACAACAGAGGGATGTCTTGTGTCTGTACACATATGTTTATACAACAGAGGGATGTCTTGTGTCTGTATACATATGTTTATACAACAGATGGGTGTCTTGTGTCTGTATACATGTTTATACAACCGAGGGGTGTCTTGTGTCTGTATACATGTTTATACGGCAGAGGGAGGTATTGTGTCTGTATACATATGTTCATACAACAGAGGGAGGTATTGTGTCTGTACACATATGTTCATACAACAGAGGGATGTCTTGTGTCTGTATACATATGTTTATACAACAGAGGGAGGTATTGTGTCTGTATACATGTTTATACAACAGAGGGATGTCTTGTGTCTGTATACATGTTTATACAACAGAGGGAGGTATTGTGTCTGTATACATGTTTATACAACAGAGGGATGTCTTGTGTCTGTATACATATGTTTATACAACAGAGGGAGGTATTGTGTCTGTATACATATGTTCATACAACAGAGGGAGGTATTGTGTCTGTACACATATGTTTATACAACAGAGGGATGTCTTGAGTCTGTATACATATGTTTATACAACAGAGGGATGTCTTGTGCCTGTATACATATGTTTATACAACAGATAGGTGTCTTGTGTCTGTATACATGTTTATACAACGGAGGGATGTCTTGTGTCTGTATACATGTTTATACGACAGAGGGAGGTATTGTGTCTGTATACATGTTTATACAACAGAGGGATGTCTTGTGTCTGTATACATATGTTTATACAACAGAGGGATGTCTTGTGTCTGTATACATATGTTTATACAACAGAGGGATGTCTTGTGTCTGTATACATATGTTTATACAACAGAGGGAGGTATTGTGTCTGTATACATATGTTCATACAACAGAGGGAGGTATTGTGTCTGTACACATATGTTTATACAATAGAGGGATGTCTTGTGTCTGTATACATATGTTTATACAACAGAGGGATGTTTTGTGCCTGTATACATATGTTTATACGACAGAGGGAGGTATAGGGTCTGTATACATATGTTTATACAACAGAGGGATGTCTTGTGTCTGTATACATGTTTATACAACGGAGGGATGTCTTGTGTCTGTATACATGTTTATACGACAGAGGGAGGTATAGGGTCTGTATACATATGTTTATACAACAGAGGGATGTCTTGTGTCTGTATACATGTTTATACAACAGAGGGATGTCTTGTGTCTGTATACATATGTTTATACAACAGAGGGATGTCTTGTGTCTGTATACATATGTTCATACAACAGAGGGAGGTATTGTGTCTGTATACATGTTTATACAACAGAGGGATGTCTTGTGTCTGTATACA